CATTTATTACGAAAACGCAAAACAAAATAACACATTTCTGTAGTGTCTTTTTAACTAGTTGTTCATTTTTTAACATTTACTGCATGATATTACTAACAGTAGTACTGTATATGCCAACATATGTTTACAGGGGTGCGCCTTATTATGATTAAATACTTTTTTTCTAGATTAAAAAGAAATGAAGAAAAAAATGGAAAAAATAAGTGCAAGCTTGATTTATTACGTCTCTTCTATATCGTTCTTCTTAAAAGGATTAGATTTGATCTTTAATCGTGTCAGTAGATTTAATCTATATCAGTGTCAATAATTACACCCAAAATACTTGACTTATACTGCTCAAGATTTTGTTTCGGCGGAATTAAGAAAGACTTGTGTTTCCAAAACAGAAGGATAGGATTCGAGAACATTGTAGCATCTTTGATGACACATGGGACGACAGACCTGTTCAAAAATGAATCATTGGACATCGTAAATGTATTGAACTTGATGAAAAAGGTAACTCGTCCTCTAGATTATGACTGCTATTTTGACGATTTTGAGTACAGTAGGAATGTGCACTGAGTGTCTGATCGTTTATGTGATATATTTGTCTGTGATAGTATATTATTATGTATCGTTGCGTTTTGTGTACTTATTTTTTTAAAATTTTACTTTAAAAGCATCCGCGTACATTCATATTGAGAATTTATCTTTGCGATCCTGGAAGAGTGTTAAGCACGGCATTTTCATTTTGTTAACGTTTGACGTGGTTTGATTTCATTTCATTTGATCTTTTGCTAATTTGTTTGTTCCTGTATCCTAGTTGGATACTGAATAATTATAGTAAGAACAAGGTTGTCCGGTTTTCTATTTTTGTTTTGTTTTGACTGCTTATCTAAGATATGGTGGTTTCAATGCATCTGACCCCCTTTCCCTTTGATTACGTTTTACCCATTCACAAACATTCTTTAACGTGTTAATAATACGCCATGTGTCATGGAAAAGCACGAACATGACACGTGGAAAGTTTCATAATCTACCGCATTAAACACATCTTTAGATCTTCCTTGAATATTTAAATGTCAAATTTAGCTTAGATCGTCCTAGGGAGGGGTGGTCGGTAGCTTGAATTTACTACTACTGTTCTTGAAAGGGCACAATTAAACTGTACCTACAACATTTTTTATTTTGCCGTTTTGTGTTTTATTTAAAAATCACGTGTTTTGTTTCTCTTTATTAGCGCAAATCCACAAACTTCATGAACAGCCTTTGAGCATAAAAAAGTTTCAAATATCAAAGTGGTATCTTTGAAAAGTTTCCAATGAATATGTGATTTAAAATAAAAAGACACAGAAGACATTTGCTAATAATCTATTTTAATACAACTGGATGGCGAAATTCAAATTTCAAATTAAAATAAAACAACAAACTATCAAACTCAAGTAAGAATACGTAGAAGAACGTATCACAAAGAAAATATAAAACATGTTGGTCAATGGACCCTTTTACGAATAATTTTCTTACGGTAACAAGATTGTTATCACGCACCTGTGTCAATATCATTTCATACTATATGATAAACAAGATCAACAAGGAAATTCGGCGTTCAATGAACGCAACCCATATGACCCAGCAACAAGAACCAGTGGCAACTCATTGCTTTCATGGAAAATAAATCTCTTTTTGTAATGAAATTTTAGTAAATGGTGCAAAATTATATTTTGAAGTTTATGGTAAACTCTGAAACGATATATAATTGATTTGAAGAAACAAAAAAGAATTGATAAAGCAATATGAACTGCGTTGTATCCACAAAACTTTATTAAATTTCTGTTGTTTTTTTTGTTCGCCAATAACTTTTGTTTTACAAAAGAGTTGAACCAGTAACATATACTGAACGAAACGGAAAACGGTGGAGCGTGTTCTTACATATATCTGATTTTCAGTCATTGACAAAAAAGAGTAATAAACAAGAACATTCTTTTTTGATTCCAAGATGGCGACGTTTGTTTACATTTTGTAGGATAAGACGCAGTTCTGATTCCCAGTCCTATGTATGGTAAACGGAAAAAAGAACAATACCAACATCTCTGATTTCATTCGATACTTTATTAATTAATCAATGTGCACACTCCACAAATTACAACTCTACGACATCTGATCATTTTTGTTGTTACTCTGGTGTTTTCCAATGTAATGGAGTAAACACGTGTCTTTCTGCATCTTTTCTAAATGGTGATCTTTTTGCCTGTTGGTGATTGCTGTAAATGGTAAAAGAAAAGGTTTGTCATTACCATTCTTTTTTTTTTTACTTTTTTTTGAAATATTGATTATGTAATTTTGTATTGCGTTTTGGCTAAATTTCTTCTTTTAATTTTGATCAAAGTCATCCTTATGCTCATACTACAACAAAGGAACCCATCCCATCTATCCAATATTACCCATTAAGAACGTGAAGTTTGTACCAAACATAAAAAAGCAAATTATTACGATATTCATAATTAACGCTCATAAAATTTGTTAAACATTTTTTAATTAATTGTTTTTCTTAGCGGCACCCATTGATGTTTAACATAGTTAGTTTTCTTGTAATTTTTTTTCTGTATGGTTATGGATAACGATATTATGTTAACTACAGTTTGAATAAATTTGTGAATATTTCTACAGTTTTAATTAGTTTCCATCTTCAGGTATTAAAATTGATCTGTTTAACTCGGTATTAATTGATTATTTAAAAAAATCGAGAACAGCTGATATTACGGACATCTTTGAATATATTTGATCAGTAAGTATAAATATCGAGTAGGAGACAATAATGTTTGTTTCATGTAGATAAAATCCAATTAAGATATTCCACTTAATCTTTAAACCTTTGTACGTCTCCTCGTTTGATTAAACCCCGCTTGATCAAACCACCCTTGATCAAACCTCTCTTGGTCAATCCTGGCAAACCCCGTTTGATCATATTCGGCCTGTAACTAGATCGCTCGTTGTACTCTGCAACATTTCCTAGAGCTAATCCAACAAGACAAAGCAAGAGAGCAATTTTAATGTATTGCATTCTTATTTTTTTGTCTTTACCTGAAAAAGAAATTAAAAAAACATTAGCAATAGGTGAGTTAATAACATTTAGTTAATACACTTGTCACTTAACTGGGATATAGTTAAACAACTGTTTAAGTGTGCTTTTGTATGTGTGTTTTTTCACGTAATAACTTTTTGTATAACAAAACAGTTTATTTCATATAGCAATTTCCTATAATAATAGCCGTGTGTATTTTACGGACACCAGTTTTGCTTATCATATCAAACATAACTCTCAACTTTCTACAAATACGAACCAAATATATAATCAAATGCACACCCACATACACGCACATACACACAAACGAAGTTAAAATTTATTTCATCTTTAATAAAAACCTAAAATACAAATGTAAATAAAATATAAAAATATTTGATATGTTCTGAAACCCGTAAATGCCTTTTTTCGATTTAGAAAAAAAAATCGGCAATCAGGCTAAAATTACCCAAGGGAGTCAAACGATGCACGCGCATCCTTAAAATACTGCGAACACTTTATCTAAAAAACAAGTCATGTAAAACATTTTCAGAAAAGATTGGAATTTAATTATTTTTTTCAAAGAATATGTCCTTACTTTTAGTTAATGTATTTCAAATGCCTTTACACAACTTTTCCCTTTTTTCAGATTTTTTTAGAATTTTGATACACGCATCGTATAACCCCCTTGTTACCTAAAGGAAGGTATGTGTACTTTTAGTGTAATTTTCAGTCTAAATTGCTTATGTAGCATTATTGTGCTGTTTCAAGCTATATCAAAGGGTTGTTCCCATCAGAAGTGTTCAAGAAAAAAAAAGAAAACAAAAAAACACGATGATATAAATACAAAATCCCACTGGATTAGACTAGTCTCTGATTAATTTGCTAAATTTTTAATATGATTGCTAATTATTTCCTTGATTATCATGCAATAACGAGAAGAAAAATTAACGTCGAGTAAGTGACATTAAAAGCTTCTTCGCTTGATATAACGCCGGGATTTTGAACCCACAATGGTAAGGGGCAACCAGTTTAAGTCAAAATTTTAATCATTTGGCAGATGATACACCTGTACCCGATTCTTAAGATCAGATACCTCATACTTCAAAATTCATGCGGAAAATAATCTTAAAAAACAATATTAAACTTTGAGGAACGTTACTTGAAATTGCAAGCAAAATTCACATGTTTATCTATTTAATATATTGTGAAAGATTAATTTCAAATCAAATAAGCATTAAATACAAATATTCAAATATGTAGCATGATTTTTAACTCGCAGGTAGCAAAAAAGGCCACTGAACCTAAAGATATACAAATGAAAAATAAAATATGTATAAATTTAAGTGTACGGTACATACTGATCAAGTTCAGTTCAACATGTAAATCCATAATAACTGATATCTTAATCCAAGAAAGAATGTTGCCAAAGCGTCAATATATCGTGTTTTTCCTTTGCATAATATACTTTGTTATTAACACAGTGGCCAATATAAATAGAAGAAAATAATTCTTGTAACATGGTCACGTGTCAAAACAGTGATCCAGAAAGATCCCCGTATCGGGTATGCCCGGTATCATATATTAATTGTCGTCATTTAAAAGGCCTCTATATTTTTTCCAGCTAAACTTTAAATCAATAAATTTGACATCAAATATACGATATAATTAATTAATCATGATCTTAGTGGCACAAATTACTACAAATAACAAAAGATCAGCAGTTAATCGTTTCCCCCTAAGTTTGATACGATTCCTAATTTCGTACGTTCCGGGCTAGAGATCGCGATATTTTCCTGTTCAATCACTAGTACTAGAAAGAATTATGTTGTATAACAAAAGTAACTATTTCCATTAGCAAAAAAAAAAAAAAAAAAAAAAAAAAAAAACATTTTGTAGGAAACGATTCCCAGACCTGTGTATCGTAAATGAAAAAAAACAACAACACCAACATCATTAATTTCATTAAATACTTTATTAATTAATCAATGTGCATGCTCCACAAATAACAATTCTACGACATCTGGTCATTTTTGTCTTTATTTTGGTATTTTCCATTGAATTGGAATAAATGGTGATCTTTTTGCCTGTTGGAGGTTGCTGTAAATGGTAAAAGAAAAGGTTTGTTATTACCATTGATTTTTTTTTACTATTTTTTTTTTGAAATATTTATTATGTAATTTTGTATTGCATTTTGGCTAAATTTCTTCTTTTAATTTCGATCAAAGTCATCCTTATGCTCATACTATTACATAGGAACCCATCCCATCTATCCAATATTACCCATTTAGAACGTGAAGTTGGTGCCAAACATAAAAATAAAATTTTTACGATATTCAATATTAACGCTCATAAAATTTGTTTAACATTTTTTAATCAATTGTTTTTCCCAGCCGCACCCATTGATGTTTAACATAGTTTGTCTTCTTGTTATTTTTTCTGTATGGTTATGGATAAAAAATTTATGTTCACTACAGTATGAATATATTTGTAAACGTTTCTTAAATTTAATAAGTTTCCATCTTTAGGTATTGAAATTGATCTGTTTAACTCGGTATTCGTTCATTATTTAAAAAAAATCGATATTACGGACATCTTTGAATATATTTGATAGTAAGCATACATATCAAGTAGAAAGCAAAAATGTTTGTTTCATTTCGATAAAATCCAATTAAGATATTCCACTTAATCTTTAAACCTTTGTACGTCTCCTCGTTTGATCATAGTCGGCCTGTAAATACCTCGTTTGATCATAGTTGGCCTGAAAATACCCCGTTTGATCATAAGCGGCCTGAACATATCCCGTTTGATCATAGGTGGCCTGAACATATCCCGTTTGATCATAGTCGGCCTGAACATATCCCGTTTGATCATAATCGGTCTGAACATATCCCGTTTGATCATAGTCGGCCTGAACATATCCCGTTTGATCATAGTCGGCCTGAACATATCCCGTTTGATCATAGTCGGCCTGAACATATCCCGTTTGATCATAGTCGGCCTGTAACTGGCTCGCTCGTTGTACTCTGCAACATTTCCTAGAGCTAATCCAATAAGACAAAGCAGGAGAGCAATTTTAATGTATTGTTGCATTCTTATTTTTTTTCTTTACCTGAAAAAGAACATCCAAAACATTTAGAAAAGCGAGTTAATAACATTAAGTGTACTTTTGTAACTTAACTGGAATAAAGGTAAACAACTGTTTAAATGTGCTTTTGTATGAGTCTTTTATTCACGCTTTTATTCACGTAATAAATGTTTGTATCAACAAAAGCAGTTCAATCAATTTCGCAATATTATACGATAAAAGCCGTGTGTATTCTACGGACACCAGTTTTGCTTATCATATAAAGCACAACACTCTTTCTACGCATCTTTCTACAAATTCAAACCGAATATATTCTCTCACACACACGCGCGCACTCACCATCGCAGGCATTCACACAGAAAGAGTTAAAATTCATATCATCTTTACTAAAAACCTAAAATGCAAATGTAAATAAAATGTAAATATATATTTGATATGTTCTGAGTTCCGTAAGTGCCTTTTCTCGCCTTAGAAAAGCAATCGACAATCAGGCTAGAATTACTCAAGGGGGTCATACGATGCGTGCGCATCCATAAAATTGTGCTACCGCCAACACTTTACCTACCGGTATTCTGAACAAAAAAGAGTCATGTAAAACAATCAGAAAAGATCGGAATTTAATTCTTTTTGCAAAGAAAATGTCCTTACTTTTTGTGTGAGTCTTAACAGAACTCTTCCCTTTTGTTGAGATTTTTTTAAAATTTTGATACGCGCATCGTATGACCCCCTTGTAACCTAAAGAAAGGTATGTGCGCTTTTAGAGTATTTTCAAACTAAATTGCTTATGCAGCATGATTGTGCTGTTTCAAGCTATATCAAAGCGTTGTTTCTCATCAGAAGAGATAAAAAAGCAACAACAAAACACGATAAAATCAATACAAAATGGTACTGGATAAGGCCTATCTTACATTAAGTTGTTTTATTTTCAGTGTAAGAGCTAATTATTTTCTTGATTCAAAATATCGATTATCAGGCACGAACGAGAAGAACAATTGACATCGAGTAAGCTATATTGAAAGCCTCTTCGCATAAAATAACGCCGGGATTTGAACCCACAATGATCAAAACACATGCGGAAAATAATCTTTAAAACAGTATTGAACTTTGAGCAACGTTACTTGAAATTGTGAGCAAAATTCACATGTATTATCTATAAAATGTATAGTGAAGCATTCATTCCAAATGAAAATGGACATTAAATACAAATAACCAAATCTGTAGCATGTTGTTAAATTCGCAGGTAGCAATAAAGCCACTGATTTTACAGATGGACAAATAAAAAAAAAAAGAAATATAAATCTAATTGAACGGTAAATACTGATCAAGTTAAGTTCAACATGTAAATCTATTATAACTTTTATTATAATTCAAGAAAGAATGTTGCAAAAGCGTCAATATATCGTGTTTTTTTCTTTGCATAATCTACTTCTTTACTACATGTAACACTGTGACTAATTTAAGAGGAGAAGGTAACTCATGTAACATGGTCACGTGTCACAAAAGTGATCCGGAAAGACTCCAGTATCGGGTATGGCCAGTTTCATATTTATTAATTTTCCACATTAAGAAGGTCCCTTTATTTTTTTCAGCTAATGTTTAAATCAATAATTTTGTCGTCAAATATATGATATAATTAATTAATCATAATCTTAGTTCCACAAATTACTACAAATATCATAATGACAGCAGTTAATCGTTTCACTTTAAGTTTGATACGATTCCGGATTCCGTACGTTCCGTACCAAAAATCGCGATATTGTCCTGTACAATCACATGGTACTAGAAAGAATTCTGTAGTATAACAAAAGAAACTATTTACTATAAATAAAAAAAAAGAACAAAAAGAAATTGTTTATTTTTTAGTGTGATAATGTAACAATGAGAACTTTTTAAGGGTCATTACCACTTCTTTCAACAATATGTATTTGAAGAAAGATTTTGAAATGGTATTTTTGTTATCTTTTTGAGTTCAGCTTTTTCAGCTGCGGACAGATTTAAAATGTGCGTGAAAATTAAACAACAAAAGTACTTACCAAAATATCCAAGACAACTGAAGTCGATACTTAGTGTAAAGACAGAAACGCGGCCTTTTAAATACCTTCGTTAAGAGTTAAACTCACAATAATGTATGTGGATTTAATGCAAACAATATTCCAGGGTTGTTTATTAACTTAGCAGGATTTTCCTGAAGCATTTTTGTATGTAATAGTTTCAGACAAAACATTTTAAAATCTTTAGAGGGAATCTTTTTAATAACATTTTATTAATATGTTTAATAATAAATGAAACACTTACTTTAATATCATCTTAATACCAAACACACACTAAAGGAGCACGATTTAGAATATGTAAGCTTTAATATTTGAGCTCTATAGTTGTTAACCTTTAAGCAAATTTTACGCGTAAGAGAGCTGATACGGAAGAAAAATTGCGCGTGATTGGTTGCTAAATTATTGCAACGTAAAGACACGCCACGTCAAGGGTTCAATTTCTCTCCAATGTGAGGGAAGATTCCTTTGAACGAAAAATGTTTGAACAACTTAAATCTATAAACAAAACTGAAATTGTTTATAGGGAGAAGTGGACGGTAGGTAGTATTTACTACTATCGTTCATGAACAGGCTCGAGCAAACCAATCCTCCAACATTACTAATTTTGCCGTTTTGTGATTTCTTTAGGAATTCCGTTTTTTTTCTCAAATCCAGTCACTTTTTTTTCAATTTTTGAAACAACATGTGGCTTTCTGAAGTTGAATATATAGCACGACAAATCAAAAAAGGGGAAACACTTTTATATCAGATTCCAACAACTGAGAATGAAATTTACCCACTCATTTCATAAAGGTTTTAAATGCCATACAATCTTAATTGAATTGAACATACCAGGCTGTACTGTATATACCAGAGGCCATCTGTCTACAGGGACAGATTTCTGTCCTTTAGTCAATCAAATTTATGAACTAGCTGCTGAAGTCGCTGCTGTTAAGTTATAGATACTTGTGAATAATGTGCATAGGACATATCAAGGAAAAGTAAAGCATTTTAGGGGAAATATACTAATTGTTGGGGGCTAGGGAAAACAACCTTTATTTGGATGTAAAATGTTGGGGAAAATTAACTGAAATCCACACATTTTCTGAACAACCCTCTTACATAACACGAGCAGGTGACGCTTGAAAAATTTTCGTTTCCAAGAATAAGCAATTTATTATAAAAACACTCAATCTTTTCATGTAAATGAGTAGCAAATTTCTATTTCCAGATTAAAATAAACATTTACTAAAATTGCCGCAACAATGCGTGGAATAAATCACACCGCTTTTTGTAAGCGTTTTGTTTATATTAACAACATTTGCACTATCTATTTACATAATACTTTAATTATTGTACATCATGTAGTAAGAAGAAATGACTTAAACGTGATATGTGATTAAAAAACTGTAGAACAGAAACAAAATATTTGATGCAAGAAAAAAAATATATATATAAATGATTACGTATAATTTGGCTTTGCTTAAAAAAATGTGTATTTTACGTAGGCAAGTTGAAAATTTCAGAATATGAAACGTTTAGTCAAACTGATAACACAATACAAACAATCTTTTAATTTGCACGTATGTAAAAATGTCAACCACTGCTGATCTTTCAGGAAACTTTTTGGACGACTCTTCAGACGAAAGTGCAGACGACAATACTGAGTATGAATGTTTATATTTACGAATCCACGCGGAAGCTTAATTATGAAGGTAATTCATTGTACAATTAACAATTAATTTAATACCAAAATTGTTTATCTCTAAATTAATCACGAAATAAATATCAACAAAGAACTTATATAATTAATTGGATTTTTTTATGGGACAATTCACAAAGACTGTTGAATTAGAAAACATACAAAAATAGTCGCAACACAAACATTTATTCGAGCATCTTTGTTTCGTTACTCTTCAAGGAATGTATTGAAATCATATTATATCAGCTTTCATTGTTTCTCTGCCGGTATTATTTTCGGTAGTCTTTCAACATGCAATTAGAAAATTGAAACTAAACATATAATAGTACTAACAAAAACATATTTTATTCGCAATTAAATATCTACGTCTTATTTTGCCCCGTTGAACATTTGTACATACTTCAGGTTTTTTTTAAAGCATTTGAGTAAGTTTTATCCATTTAAAAATAGTAAAAGGTATGTTGAAAATATTAAAAGCTGCAACACGTCCGCTTTAATTAATATAAAATCAACAGGTTTCGACCTCACAAAAATTAAATATGTTAAGTTTTAAACTTTACACACTTTAGGAGGGTACAATATGAACAATTGTTGCATTGAAAACACTTGCAGTTCTTTTTTTTAAGAAAGGACAAGCTTTATTTGACCTGTTATAAGGAATGCAGTTTCTCATACATTTTTTTTACATTCGTTTCTTCAAACATACAGTTGATAGGTCAATAACCTTAACCATTCTACTTGCAACAAATAAACCTTTTTTCATGTCTTAATATTGTAACAGATATTTGTACATAGATTCATTATCAATTAATTTAGATTCAATTTACCATTGAGGATTAAACGACGGTATTCAGAATCACTTGTTGTAGCATTCTCTGTCGTAAATATCTGCGGAGGTTTCTCAAATTACAATTTCACCATTGTCTTGTTTAATGTGTTGCTTAAGCCGGTGCTAGAGGTGTGGTCGGTAACTTGCATTTTCAAGTACAGACAATTTACAGGCTCAATCATCAAACGGAGCTTGCAGCATTTTCAATTCTGTTGTTTACAGCATTCTTCAGAGATTCCGTTTTATATAAAGTTGGTGATTTAAAAAAAATTGACAACTAGGTGATTTACAAGTCGACAAAACATCATGTAATTTATAAACATTCCTGTCACTTGAAGGGAATGTCTCTTCTTATGGTAAGGTTGATACACACTGATATCACGGTTCACAAAGCATTCAAATCATTATTTACTCTATCAAACATACCAAAATGACTCGATATTTCCATAACAGTCGCTTGACATAGCGATTGACCAACAACTCTCAAAATTTATATATTTTAAAAGAAAATCAATTTAGTAATGTAATTAATTATACAGTATGTCTAATATCTCATATATATGTCTAATATCTCATATATATATATATATATATATATATATATATATATAAGTATGTTGTTTTTATGTCTTTAAAAATATATAAATTGAATGAAGTTTGTAAATAATATTTATATTATAATACATCACATTTGTTGATTACAGTATTTCCTCTGCAAAGAACTCTGAGACGCAATAACCTCTTTAGAGGCTATCGGTATATTATGTAGAATGTAAAAAATATTTTATTTATATACTTATAAATGAAATATTGAAAAATATTGATGAAATAAAACGTGTATTTTCAAATTCCGTATTTTTCCTGTAAAAAATATTGTTCACTGCAGTGAAACATATTATCCGTATTGTCATTGGTGTCTTGCCGGACAACTTTCTTCATGAACACAGAATGTATGGGAAAGTCTTTCTAACAGTTATGTCAACATCAAGATAGAAAATGTATATAATATATAATTAACAGTAATATCAAGTTTTTTTCTGTAAATGCATGACCTAATTTCATCTTGTGGCATGAAATTATCAATTTTCACGAGTGGCTACCACCACTCATTAAATTTTCATTTTCATACCATTAAAACAAATCATTTTTTTTATAAAAAAAAAACCTTAAATATACTCTATGTATTATAACATTTTTATTTTTGTACTTTGCTCATTGACGCGATGGTCCACGAAGCTACATACACGAAAACAACATATTTTATTCAAATAACAACATTATATAACTGACAAAGGACGATGATAATATTCGTTTAAAAGTACATATAGAATCACACGATTTATCCGTGTTTTAAATAAATTGTATATGTATATATATAACATAAATTTATCACCTTCATTTGTTTATTTAAATCAAATATCGGTTGCCAACCGTGATGTCCGTAACTTAATAAATGTTAACTATGATACTGACAAAATTAGATGAAAATTTTTAAAAAAATATGCACAATAACAAATATATAAAAATATTTTGACAACATATGCCAGAATAATTTTGCAACCAATATACATCCTCTTCTATTTATATCTGGATAAGTCGGAACACTAAATATTAAATACTTACACGGAATGGTTAATGAAACTTTCACGTCACAATTATTAACCATGATATTTTATAGTACCACCTTAAAAAGGGATCAACCGTTTTTAGGGCACTTATATTATCTATTGTGCACTTCCCATCTTTATGGGAAGTGCACAACTTTATTCAAATATTGCAGGGACAATTCATAGGTCATACGGCCTCTATCAGCTTTACTTGTGAGCTGTCCCCGCAAATATTAATTGTTTGAGGCACGATCAGGCACTCAGTAAAACCATCGAAATTCCACGAACTAACAAGAAAGCTTCCTCACAATACCGAATTATAAAAACTGTCGTGATTTTCAACATCAGCGATTAGAGGGCAGCTATTTAAACTTTTAGACCACTGATGCCACTTACTTGCAGTTATTTCGCTTAAATAAAATGACACTTTAAAAAACATATTCTCAGTAGACATTTTAAGAGGATATGTTCGCCATACCTTAAGGCAGAACAATTTATTTTTTATTCGTTGATGTTTGTGTTTAGATCATTGTAACAATGACACCGACACTAGATGTACATCTCCGCAACTGTTCAGTGAACGAATTCATAGATTACGTTGAGAAAATGATATATGTTTGATTTATCTATTTCTATTTCAATGATTTTGTTGAGTGTTTTTTTACTTGAAGTGTTTTATTTTTCTTTTTTCAGGGCAGGATTAAATTTGGATTACAAACATATTATTCATTTATTTTCATTTATTTAAACAAGACAAAATCCGGAAAAGAGTAAAGAATATAAAAATTGATAACATGACTTCCATGCTACAAACTTATCAAAGACCTAGCGCGTAGTTTGTATGATCCATTTCATATACACGGATACATTTTAACAAACTTCTTATAAGTCACCCCTTCAATGCATTAACTCTATCAAGGAATATTT